GGGCTGATTTAAATAGACATTATCCCTGCGGTTATGGAGGAACCATACCTGGGTGAGTGTGATGCGGGCTTCATTATGAGACAGTCTTAGAATTTATAATGTAATATATCAAATGTAGTATAATTATATGATTATTTCACCTTCACAGGAGTATCACCAATCAACGCTGTAACAGCAGTGATGGCAGAAACAAAAGTCATGTTCGACTTAATGACCAACTGTAAGTAGCTGCTGATTTTATATAAATGTTATAATCACAAACTTCCTCTTCCTGTGTTTGTGGTGATACATAATAACAGTGATGGTGTTTTTTGTTTTTACCAGAATACCAAAACCAACAGACATAAATATAGCGTGAGTACTCTTTCCATAATGATAAACTAATTTGTTTTTGCACATAATTCGACCCTTTCTTGTCTTTGTGCCTTTCATAGGGAGAAAATGATAAAGATTGCCATCCCAAAAGAGCATCCCTATTCATCGCACATCTCTCGTTTTGCAATGTTCCCATCCTTCCACTCACCAGATGACCCACATACAGGAGTCAGAGCTGCGTCTCAATCTTTCCTAAACCTCAGTATCCCAAATAGCGCACCTGATATCACTCTGCTAAGCAAAACTAAAGGTGGGATATTCTGATAAAAGGGAGTGGTAGAATGGTTAGGTCTTTAAGATGCTTCTTTTTTCACACCTAGGTGCTCCATATAGACTTGAGAGCTTAGAAACACCACTGAAAACAAGAAAGAAGGCTGTTATGTGGACAGGAGAACATGGCTTTTTTGATGTGAGTGATGAAATATCAATGACTTCACAGTTTCACTGACGTTAATCGAAGCATAAAGTGTCTTCCTTCTTCCACCAGCATGCAAAATCAGCAAAGGGAGAGAGCCAGGTTTTCTACCCCACTCCCCCAAAGATGGTGCTGCCCAACCTGAAACTTCGAGACTGGGATTTGACGCTATCGGAGAGGACAAGCAACATCCTGAAAAACATGGAGAAGACCCTTTGGGTCACTTCCTACCAAATGCACTACACAGGTAAGAAGTGAAAATACTGAAAAAATAAATCCTTGTTAAACAGAAAGTATGTCTTGATTCAATTCATCAGTTTTATCTATCAGGACATATCTTAATGACCTTGTAGTACCATATCACCCTATTAGAGCACTTTGCTCTCGCACTGCAGGCTTACTTGTTGTTCCTAGAGTATTTAAAAGTAGAATGGGAGGGAGAGCCTTCAGTTTTCAGGCCCCTCTTCTGTGG